ACCTTACAATGTAAACTTCATTTTCATTGATCACAGTGATTAATAACTTTTTACTTGAGAAAATATGGCCTCCTATTACGTACAATATATCTTTTGGAAATGAATAGAAGCCCTTTGATAGCCTTAACCTCTATTCACGAAATTAATCAATGGCATTTTGAAATATTCGTTTGAGAAACTGTAATTTCCTGGACTCGTTCTAAAATCCATTAAACTAACGTTACAACTCCCTGTGATGTGTACTTATAATTATTAGATTTCGTATGTTCACATGTAAATTAAAACGCATTGCGCATAACGTCATAACTTAAAGTCATAACTTCATTAATTATGCAACTAGAGGAATAATACTTCTCAAAGCTGAAACATTCGTAATTGCATTCAAATCGACCTTCAAAATCTTGACCTACATCACTACGATTTTCAGTCCGCTATTTACCAAAAACGTTTCCGTATTTTCATAGTAACAAAAATGAGAAACTCTCCTCCAAGTCTGTGAAAATAATTCAAGCTGATAATTCCATTTATGGTATCGACTCCTTTCTCCACAAATTCGTTCAACCAGTCGATCAGTCAAACGATCCACAAAAAATTCCGTGGCATGTTTTTCGCGAATGTCCGTTCATGTGCGTATGTACGAGATATAGTGAGTGAGGTGGGTCAGGAGAGGGGAAAACAACGCGCGAGCGTGACCGAACAGAAGCGTTAAATTTTCATTAACGAAAATTACGAAGCGGTGCCACGCCGGCTGGCCGCTGATAGTTCCAGCAATTATTTTAAGCGCGGCCTGTATAAATCAGCTGGCTGAACCAAATGAACCCTGAATAGCAGTTCGCGTCGAATAGAGCCGGAGGGATATGTCCGCAGAGCACACCGGTCCGGTCTCGTAATTAAAAACGACAAAAAAAAAAAAAAACAAATATGGGTTTAATGGTATCCTCGTTCCGCCTCGCAATTCATCCGGTCCCGACGATAAAGTCGTACACGTTCGCCGATTTGTCAGAAACTGTCGTACTCGTTCTCAGAAATAAAATTGTCCAATACGCGCCTGCATTTTATTATCGGCTTTTTATTGTCGCGAAACAAGCGTTTCGTGTACAAAGAAGAGAGGGAGAAAGAAAGAGAGATACTGGTAATTTGAATTAAAATTGTTGATTTTAGGCGAGAAACAGGAGGTTTGGTTTTTGCTAGGTCGTGTTTTAGAAGTTTCGTAATAAATTTTTGACGATGGTTGATACGATATACACGATGTTTATCCTGTTGAATTTTTCGAGATAATAATTTTGTTTCTGCTAGATGGTTGGTATTTTTCTAAAGATTTTTTAAGTAGGCTTTGACGATGATTGATTTTGTATATGGGATAAATGTGGAATTTATTATGTCCATATGTAGAATCGACGATTTTCTACAGTTGATATGGTTCCTTTTTTTTGAAAAAATTAACATTGCACTATAAATTACGATATATAGGACAACAATATCCACAGTGTTAAAAGAAAAATACAAAAATCTACGTATTTATTACAAAAAGTCAACGAATATTAAAAATCCTAAAATAAAGATACAAGTGATTTATTTTACGGTATACCAAAAATTGTATTATTTGCGAACCACTTCGTAATATTCTACTTTTTGATAATATTATTTTCTATTTCATTAAAACTCGTTATTAGTTCCTCTTGTTTCCCGTTACTATTTCTTTAATCCAGTCATTCTTCTTTTATTCTTCAAACGCCAGGGAAATGCAAGTTCCGTGGAAGCCAGATAACCATAACTTGACGTGTTAATTACGTCACAGTGTCGCGTATATTCATTTGCGAGGATATACATTCGTCGTGTTGGCTTTTTATTGCAAAACAGCGCAGTAAGCTAGAATATTTATGAACATTTCTATGTATGTACCTTGGTGACGTGAAATGCAACCGCGAATTTAAGAGTGGGG